TCCTGCTGCTGCTGCTGCCACTGCTCGTATCTATTGGTAGTACGACGACGACTTCTGTGGTGCGTTCTCAGGCCAGGATGGTACGTGGAGTCGGCACGAAAGGGGCTGCTCGATCAGCATTCTTGACCAGCCTGAGCTGCAAGACTGTTTTGTCAAAAAGTTGGCAGTTTAGGGTCTGATGCTACAATTGGGGGTTGAGGGGTGCAGGGTTTGGAGGTCAAGGGTGTAGAGTTTTAGGTGCTGCTGAAACCCTGTCACACGAGGGTTTACAATGACGGCGGTCATGACTGCAGGTGCGCAGAGGAGTCCTAGGTAGCACGTTTACTGCCATGCTTCTCTACACAGTCGTGTAAATGCTGCACGTGCGTAAAAACTGTGTCTGTATGCAGTTCTTTATCCGCTAGTATGTGTGTGTGTGTGTGTGGGCGATCAAGCCCTACGTAAAACTACCTTTGAATGCCGGCTGTTACGAGTCTGGTCCGTTGCAGACAGTAACTCTCTGCCGAATATAATACCTGCCCAAAAACAAACACATGCAAAATTCTATAGCGTTGTTTCAATTGGCTCTGAACCCTGTTATCCCTGTTACCTTGCAGCTCGATGCACAAAACAAGAGCCACGCCGTTGCTCCAACCAAATCCTGGACACAACTTCTGTAATGTAGGGGCCTTGGCAATTCACATAGGGCTGTTGGAGTAGAATGTTACTGTAAGTCTGAGGGATCCTAGGAATCATGCTGGTAATGATTCAGGCTTCTACATTATTGACTTTCTGTAGGCCATGCTTGGGTGTCGAAAGGTTCTACTGTTGAAGTCTGCGAAAAATCAGCTGGAGACCCGATGCTGCTCAGAGAGACCTGCAATTCATTATCTTTTTGTGTAACTTCATGCGCATAGATATATGCATAAAAACTTACATATTCACAAGCATATAAATTTCAAGACAAAGATGAAGATGCACAACTCTTTATATACATGACTGTAAATTGCATATGAACCTGACTATAAGCACAAATAGGAAAGTATAAGTGTAAGTAGAATTAGAAGTAGCAGGAGGCATACATGTCAGCAACCTTGCCCTGACTTTCAACACGGACCGAGCTGTCACCAGTACCACGACTCATGCACAACCGTCCGACAAACCTCTTCCTAAGCCCAACAATATGGGATTGAAAGGGATCTAGAGCTTTTGTTGCAAGGATACCGGCTTCCACGGGTTCAGCAGAGGCGAATATTGCCTTAAAGCCTGGTTGATGATCCCCGGTGGCTCGGGGATATTTTGGCGTGCGGGAAGCTGCAGGAGGTCGGGGCATTCAGGACAACACCGTTGCTACGACTACTCTGGCAATGGCAACATGCAAGGTCCAATCTTGTCCACTATTGTCGCCGCCATTAACACTATCTGGCCCTGAGATAAACGGGCTTGGGTTGGTGTCGACGAGAGACATGTCCGCCCCCACAGCACTGCCGAGCTGTCTGAATGCCGTTGGCTAACTTTCATGGAAAGACTGCAAGTTAACACACAAAGGCAGTCCTGTCTGTGGATGATACTCACCCCCTCCGCCGCCCTCGCCAGGGTGAAAGGCGTCGTACCTTCACGCTGCCGACCAAGCTGAAAGGCCGACAACACGTCTTTATGTGACGGAAACGATGGCAAATACGGGTAATGATGGGTGAGGGTTTAGGATTTAAAGGGTTTTGGGGGTTTAGGGGTTTAGGGCTTACCACCAGGTTGTATGTCTCCATCAAGCGATTTCAGAAGGATGTAGGGCCCTGAACCCTGAACCCCAAAGAAGGGCACTTCTCGAACATTGCTCCGTGCTTGTGCCAGGCCTGCTGGGCTGCGGCGGTTTTTGGAATCGGGCGTTGCAAGCTGTACCCTAACCCCCCAAATACCTACTATAGAGGGTACTAGAGCCCCTAGGGCCCTACATAGTAGGTACCTGGAGGGTTAGGGTTAGGGTTTTCGATGTGCTGTGTGGATTGAAGTTTCGGGGCCTAACCTGATTGCGAGTTTTTGAGGTTGCAGTTGCGATGCTAAACGTCGTGCTCAAGCCGAATTCCGGTTCCAGGATGAGCGAGACTGTTTCCGGTAATTGCGAGGCCCTACACAGCAAAGACTTTCAGAAGAACAAGCACTCATCCTATTCCTCTCTGCACGCTGGTTGTTTCTACGGTTGCTTCCGGAGTTGTGACCGTTGCCGACACCGAAGTCCAAGCTCGGTGGATGGAAGCGAGCGAGGCTCACGTTGGAACGAGAGCTTCCAGCATATGTACATATCAAATAGAGGCTGGAAAGTTGGAACATCTTGCGAGTCACGCCCCTAAGGTAAAGACACGGGAATCCTAGCATAAGTCATCCTTAACTCGTATTCCAACTTCCGGTCAGGGTATATGTATGTCATACTGCAGATGTATAGCCTCGTAGCAATTCCGAAGCCAGCGGCTGGCCAATTCCTCGGCCAATTCAGCGCTGCCTGGACAGGCTTCGCGCGCGACCAAGCATTGACTGACAGACTCCCTAGGAACACACATAGATTCTGCATGATACCTACAAGGAGAATCCTGGGCACATGGATAATAGTCTGTAAACATGCATGCAAGCAAGATAAGCACGACTACCTGGTGATTCATAAACGGTATCAGGCAAATTTTTTGGCTAGCTACATGTCTCGATTGTCTCAGGGGTCGATGACCGATGCTCGCACGCGACTTGCCAGTTGCTCTGGCCTGCAGGTTATGCATAACCCTAACTGTGGGCAAAGCAGCATGCAGCTGGCGAGATCAGGAATCCCCTCCTCAGCCCAAGACATGCTTAAGAGCTTCAGCTCGGCTGCCCTGGACTCCTAATCTTTGAGCATCGTGTGCCTGGAGCTTCTGAGCCCATGGTCTTGCTCAGCGTCTCGAGGCCCTCAATGAGCATGAGCTGCAGCGGTGCCCAGGCATTCCTCGAAGTGAAGGCGCTGGTAAATTGCAGGCGGCTCTACTGTGCGTTGTTGCCTGCACATCCATGGTCCCAAGAGATCGCTTGAACCTATGTGTGTGGACACCCTAGAATAGTCAGGAGGTTTCATGCATGGGTTTGTCTGTGTGCATGTTGTGTGTTTGTGTGTTGGCCCAGGCTCGGTGCGTCCCACTGCTCTCCGGAATTGAGGGTGGTGGTTGCAGCACCGCCAGCCTGACGAGCTAGACTCTGCCTTCGGGGTTACTTGGAGCACCAGCGGGCTGCATGTCGTACACTTCCATGCTGAAGATTTAGGTGGTTACAGGTTTGGCCACCAGAGCCTGACATCATGTTGACAAAGCTTTCGGGCTACTGTTGCAAAGCAACAGAAGGTCCAGGTAAGACATTGCACAAGGCTTTCCGATATGAGTTTCGTGCTACATTTGACGTAGTTGAGCATCAAGGCTCTTAAAGCTGAACATCTGGGAAAGTCAGCACCGCGAGATGCAGAGCACACATTTCAACCTCCTCTCACGTGCACCTCTTCAAAGGGGATGAAGAGTCTTCGGACAATTCCAGGGCATCGGCATGTTGCTTGACAGCAGCAGCTTCCAGTAGCAGCGGAGAGAGAGAAAAATACGAACGGCAGAAATCAGCCGATCTTAGAATCTTGGGGAGTCGGGGAAAATATGGAAAAAAATCCGGATATATAAATCTAACTCGCCTGATCCCGTAGGAATCCTTCTAGAATCTTCGAGTCGTCTCTGACCTGCAAGAGGCCGCTGCCACGGAGCGACGCCAGAAGCGCTTCCACGCGTCGTCCAGTGAGGCCTTGCACCCAACTCCTAAGAGCCCTATGAATCCCTAAATCCCTAAACCCTAAGAGTCCTAAATCCCTAAATCCCTAAACCTGAGGTGAGGGGTCTGTTCCATCACAGCAAGTATCGTGTGAAACGAAGCCCTGATCCAGAACGATCTTCCCTAAAACCTAAACTGACCTAAACCCTGAGCCCTAAACCCTTTTGCGTCCGTCTGGGCATACATAGAGTTTAGGGTCTCCGGAGTCTCGGGCTGCGATTCTTTCGGAGCTGCACGCCGCTACGGACCTGAAATGAGATCGAGCTGTCTTGTGCTATGTGTTTCAGAAGCTGCCCACACAAGCAGTCCAAAACCATATTACGAGAAAAATTCGTGACCAGTGGTGCCGTTTTAGACCAGAAGAGCTACTGAACCTGGCATGTTGATGAAGCTTGTAGAGCTGCCTCTTCACGTGACAGTCGGAGTCCTTCTGCATTTCATGTCTTCATTGCGTCTAATCTTACGTGCCGTCTGAGTGACGACCTGCAGCATGTTCGAGCGTGGTGTGTGCCTCTAGATTGTCTCTATCCAGGTGATGTTGAAGTCTATGCCTAGGCCCAGTCAGCTACGAAGTGGAAGCAGTCCAACGGGCCACAGTCAAATCGAAACCTGTGCACGGCCACTTCAAAGACACGACTGTGAGCTGACTCTCCTTAGGGTTTAGGGTTTAGGGTCGACAGACAAGTTTTGCACCGATTTGCTAGTGCCAGGCGCGCAGCTTTCCCACTCCCTCTGAAGCCCTGAACTTCATGTCGGTATGGTTCGGCAGCATAGCAGCATAGCATCGATACCACCATCAGAAATCGTATATGCCAATGTGCCTTTATAAACTACTTGCATCCAGCATAAAATGCCATCATCATCATCATCATCGTCATCATCATCATCATCATCATCAATATGTTCCTCCTCCTGACCGTTAGGCTGAGGCGGCTAAGCGTTACTCTGTCCAGTTCTGACCTTGTTCGGTGACTATTTACTTGCGTTTTCTCATTACATTTGATACTGCTGTTGGTACGAGGCTTGTCAGTGCTACCGGGGGCGGTGAAGACTTGGGTACTCTTTCAGCCTGTGCGAGTCCCGCGCGAGCAAAATGGGAGGAGGGAGGGGTACTTCTGTTTCTTGCAATCTTGATCTCCGATCCCTTGGAGAACTAGGCCAGACTGGTCACATTATGAATAATATACGGAGGGAGGGAGAGAAGGAGAGTAGAGAGAGAGAGAGAGAGAGTAAGAGAGAGAGAGAGAGAGAGAGAGACAGAACCACTCTGGTATTGGCAAGCAAAGATCGCACACAGTACAGGATCGCGAAGAAATTGTAGGTTTGATGCGAAACAAGATACGACAAAGGTATTGAACACGAGCCTAAAACGGCGGCAAATGGGGTTGGGAGGCAGGGACGACTTAAACCTATCGCCGGTACTGAAATCGTCATGAAACCCTCAACTTACTTCGGCCTCAAAACACTAAAGCCTCACGCGTCAGAGCCCTGGGGCAGCAAACTTGCTGCTTACTGCTCCGCTTTTATGCCCGGGTGCCGGCCCACAGGGGAGCCGCGAAGTCGGAAAGAGACGGGAGGACAGCCGCCTTGCCGGTGTCCAGGCCTCGCAGAAAAGGTTGATCATACTAGCGTTTCAACTGTTTTGAAGACATTTTCGCAGGAGAAAAGCTGTAGTCCTATTGTTTGGGAGTACAAGATGTAGGCTGTAATTAGGAAGGTACCTTGAGCGCTGGACCTAGGTCTAGGTTTTGTGGTTTAAGTAGCTTTGATCTCCGCAGTTCTGTGGACGTGGAAGCCTGTCTAATTTCTGGCAGATACTTGGAGGCTCATGGGTGTTTGTAAGTAGGTTTATGAGTCACCCTCAAGAGTACAGCTTGCAAGCTTTAACTTTTGCTATTAACAGCTCAACTTATAATATCTTATAACTGCCCATGAACCTCCGATTAGGGTTGAGGTCGTTGCGGCTTTCGGCTATCAGGATGAGAACTGCAGGGTCTGAGCCCTTGGAGTGTGAGGGTATGGAGGCCACGGGAGGAAGGTCTGTGTTGAATGCTTATCATCTCTCCTGCAACCTATTCGAGGGGTTTTGGCTTCAGGATTTGAGGCTTAAGCGATTCAGGGTTCAGGATTTAGAGCTTAAAGGTACGAGGTTTTGGCCTTTGAAGGTATTCAGGATTTCCATGCCTACAAGTGTAGGACCCGCCCAGTTTGTCTAATTCCTGCGTCATATTGTCTAGACTATAGAGTCTAGATGTCATCGCTGCTTCACAGCAAGAGTGCCTTACGGTTTAGGTGTTTAGGGTTACGGTAACGTACACGTTTAGGGAGAACTGCTGCGATAGGATAAGCATCAACAAAGGGACTGGCATGGAATCATGATTTTCGGTCCCAGCCCATTGAGCAAAGCAAGAATAAAGGTCAAGACAATACTACTACTGACTTCACACTTACTACTCCCTGGTTGCTACGGGCGCAATTGCCGCTTGCTAGGTGTTGTTTACATACGACTTACGTACTGAGGACTACTTCCTAAACTGCTACGTCCTATGCTATTTGCTGCTAGCTACTTGCAAGATTAAACTTGCTACTCAGAGCTGGCGACATACTACTGGCTACCTGCTATACCACTACTTACTACTTAGCTACTGCTACAAACTTCTAACGACTTGTTATTATATGCTACATACCATGTCCTACGTACTGCCTACCGTCTGCACTCCGCGCCCTGAACCCGAAAGCGGCAGTGACCCACCCCTGAATCCTGAAGATAACCACAGCCAAACCCCGCATTCAAGTGGCGGAGATCCCGGTAGCTGCCCAAGTCATCCGACCAGAGAAGGCCTCGGTTCGGCGATACCACGAAGAATAAAAACAAATGGAGAGATACTTAATTTCAATCATAAACAACAGAAACAATTAGAAATACAACAATGACAATAATGATGTTATGATTCATATGCAGGTTCCTGACTCACAGAGCCCCCTTACTTCAGGGCCACAACACCAGGCACCTTGTAAGGACCCTTGTTGCAGAACGGGGGCCGATTCATCTCAGGGATTCGCGACCGAGGCGAAACGCTCACACTTGGAGGTTCATGGGTAGTTATAAGTAGAGTCATAAGCCTCCGAAAATAGGTTATAACCATAGTTATCCTACTTATAACCCTACCTGTAACTACCCATGAACCTCCAAGCAGGGCACACTCGAGTTTATTGCAAGCCCCGGTGCGGTCCACTGCGGCACTGCGACGCTCTGCGGCTGCCTGGTGTTCATCTCAGGGCCGACCAATGCAGGGTTTAGGGTTTAGGGTTCTGGGCAGGGGAGCGGTGTAGGGCTGCAGGGGCAACGTCGGTATCCCAATAAGCGGAAACGAAGCCCTCAACCCCTAGAGGTTTTTCAAAGACGCAGAGGACCCGCAGCCCCCCATCTTGAAGCCCAAAATGCCCCTGACTCAGGCCTGAACACCCCGGACAGAAAGCCAAATCAACCCTGGCATCCGGAGTCTGGGAATACGCCTCGAGGCACCAGAGATCATCAATCATACGGACAAGCCTGAACCACGCCGGCAGGAAAGGAAGGGGACCCCAAAACTCTCAGCAAGCCTGAAGCCCAAAACCATAAACCCTGATAAACCCCTGAACCCTCAAGATCGGCTAAACCCTCATACCTTACAACTACAGTACGATGACCTACGATTTTGTAAGGTCTTAGTATGTATGTATGTATACATGTATATATATATATACATATATATATATACATATATATATACACACATATATATATATGTGTATATATATATGTATAAACCCTGCGAGAGAGTTGAAGAGGGCACTGCGCTTGTAAACCATCCTCGCCTCCAAAGCGGCTGCACGGTCCTTGTCGCCAAGGTGGCGCGCGAAGGCAGCGAGACGCTTTTCAAGGCGGAGGAGAATACCTCTGGGGTCATATAATATAATATAATATAATAGAATAGAATAGAATAGAATATAATATAATATAAGGGTCTAGGGCCGGCTGCAGCCCAGGGAAGGTTCCTTGGGCAGGGTTTTGGATTTTAGGGTCTTTTTTGATGGGGAGTTTGCAAGGATAAGTTTGCGGCTGAGGCTTGAAGATTTCGGCATGCTGAAATTGAACCGGCCAGGGGCACTTTAGGAAATAGTACACACAGCGATTACTGTAGGCGCTTTTCGCTGGAATGCGGCTGAAGGGTGGAGGTCTTGCTTGTTGCTCCATGTTCTCAAGCAGACGAATAATCTCGATCAAGGGAGCAGTTTAAATCCACCGGCACGACCTGGCTGGCGTTGATCGTGGCGAGGTCACTTGACCCGGCATCCTTGGGGCTCGTGTGCTCGCTTATTTGTTGGATTGCTTGCTTGGTTAGTTATCATGGTTAGTTGGTTGATGGTTGGTTGGTTGGTTGGTTGCTTCCTGGCTTGCTCTCTTGCTCGCCTGCCTGGCTGCCTGCCTGATTGCAACGTAGACCTGACAGCAAGGAGAGAAAAAAAGCGGAGGGACGCAAAGAGAGGGGGTGAGAGAGAGGGAGGGAGAACACAAGCCAAACAAACAAGCTTAGCAATCAGGCACAAAGTATGCATGAACCAAACACATAAATCACATAAACACGTACATAAACAGTGCACAGTACACAAACAAAAACGTAAACAAGCACGTCAGCAATATGCAAATAACAAACAAACCCACATGGCCCGCTAGCTTACGTACTTACTTACTGACTTACTGACTGACTGACTGACTGACTGACTGACTACGTACTAGTAGTTGGCTAGCTAAATCCCTAGCATGCCGGTGAGGGTTTCTGCGAAAGTGTATCTCGCTGCATATCTATGGAAGAGCTGATCTGCCCGGCGATCATGGCAAGCGCTTCCTCCACAAGCGAGGCGAGGTCCCTCGTGGTAAGATCAATGATCCAGGTCTGGCGTTGAGAAACCAAAACGACAGCTTATGATGCGAGACAACACCAACCCCCTTTCCGAAAAACCAAAGAATACCAAACCTTTCGCATTTATGTGCCCGACACCTTCAAAGCACAAATCCATAAACCTCACACCTCCAGAGCACCTAACCAGTGAACTCCCAGATCCGACAAAGCCATCTGCAATGAAACCTGGAAACCTCTAACTCCCCAGCGAAACAGCCTCTAAACGCTGTATCCGTATAAACCCAAAGCACCCAGCGCTGAAACGGGGCTCAAACGTCGAAAGCGCTAGGCCCTACGACCCCGGAGCCGCAGCTTTGAGCACGCAAGCCCCAAAACACTAGAGCCCCATCTACTGTAGGGGCCTTAATAAGTAGAATAGGGTTTTGGGAGTATATTGTAGTACTATGCCTACAATAAGAAACCACCCCAAAAATAGTATTGGTAAGTCTTCAGGCTCTTACAGTAGAGCCCCATCTATCCGGCGTAGGTTGAGAGCTTTAGGGTATCTATCTATCTGTCGTTCTTTCGATCTCCTGTATCTCTACATAGCTATGTCTGTATGTATACCGGTAGACAGATCGATAGGCCGACAAATAGAAACGGGTTTAGGTTGTTTGGGATATCTCAAACCTCAAAGCTCCCTGGAGACAGCCTCGTGAGCCCCGAACCCCGAAGCTCTGAAGCCTATGGTAATGTCCGGGCCTTAATTAATCAGAATAGGGTTTTGGGTAATCATATTAAACTATAATTATGAGAAGGCGCCCCGGTAAAATAGTGTAGGCAATTATTGAGGCTCCTACATAACTAAGTCTTTACGAATTTACCGGCCAACTCGCTGAACCCGCAACCCTAGAACCCTAAACGCCGTAACTCCTAAAATCCTGAATTTTGCTTAAACAAAAAACTGTATGAAATGCCTTATGCAAGGATGCCGAACCCTCAAGCCTGCTTAAACGAGCACCCAATAAGACTGCCTTATGAACGCATTTTACTCCTACAATTCCTGGAGCCAGTTTCAACCCTAACCCTAAACCTTAAACCCAAAACCCTAAACTCTATACTCTAAACCCTAAACCCTATACTTATGAAAGGCAGGGCACCGAAGCTGCTCTCTGCAGCCAGCGTGTGGAGAAGTCCCAGCCTGTTTCGGCTCCGGACCTGCCATGGACGCAGTTTTGGGTTTAGGGTTAAGGGGGGTCTCGGGTTTGGGGTTTAGGGTTTAGGGTTAGGGGGGGTCTAGGGTTTGGGGTTTAGGGTTTTTGGGGTTTAGGGTTAGGAGGGGTTTAGGGTTGCTGATTGGATGCTGCGCGTGCATACCATTCTGGTGAGGCTTCGCATCCAAAGTCGCGGTTGGCTTCTAGTCGGGGACAAGCAAGGCTTAGTGGGTTTTGGGTGGGGCTTTGATTTGACGTAAAAGGGTCTGAGTAGGAGCCAATAAGCGTGCGGTCAAATATTTCTGTACATGCCAGAAAATAGAGCCCGAAAAGTTTTGAGTTTAGAGATCTTCCAGTGGAGAAGTCGACACACACCAAAACCCCCAACTGAAAACGACGCCCACAACCCAAAACCCAAATTCTACGCTGCCAACTCCCAGAATCACTTCCCCAAGAAGCCCCATAACCGGAGTCGAAAACACAGTAAAACTCCATTTAGTACAAGAGCCCGCCCTGCCAAAAACCTGACCCTACAAAACAAAGACCCTCAAGCCTGAACCCCAAACGCCAAGCCCCCTAATTCCAGGGTCCGACCTGAGTTCGTGAAGCACCTCGGAGGGCTCTCGGCCCAGTTTTTTGCCATGCTCGGCGGTGGCCACATCCTGCGAAGGGGGGTCAAGTCAATGTGGGAGGTTTGGTGGTCTTGGGTTTCGAGTTTAGGGTTCAGGCTGGATGGGTTTGTGGAAGCTTATAAACTTATAAATAATCAGGTAAGGGCTTCTTAATGTTAGAGGTAAGAGTTCCAGAGTCCCTAAAAACGAGGATCTTACGCTTTTGGGCCCACATGTTGGCTTGGAAGAATCTGCCAGGGTTTGTGGTGGTTCCTCAAGTCCGTTCAGGGCCTGGAAGAAGCAGCTTTCGTTTGGACATGAAGGAAAAGGCTCAGGGAAGCTTGAAGTTAGAGTTTGGAGTCTGCGCAAGCTGTTTGACAAAGAGTCGCATGGTTTTGGGTTGTTTTGGCTACCATTAAACCGCCGGTAACCTCGCCACAGAACTGAAACAGGACTTCGGTGGTATACCATAGTTAAACATGATATTCAATGAACCCCCCCAAAAAATATTAGCAATTCTTTAGGCTTCCATATTCGGACTTTCTCCTAAATCTGGCCTGCACTAAGGCTTCAGAGTTGCCTTTCGAAAACTCCTATGCACCACCCTACAAAATAGAGACTCCCTATCAAACAAAGTCATGACGAGTTAGGTCATGCCTGGGATGCTTCGCCCCACTGTAAACGATGGAACCCCCCCTTCGAAACGCTACCATGCATGATATCAACCAGCCCAACTAGAAGGATCCTCCCCTCAAAAATAAAAATGGAAGCCCCTAAACCTCCAAAAATATGGAAGCCCCTAAACCCCCCAAAAATATGAAAATCCCTAAACCCCGAAGCACGAATTTCTGACAGAAGGCCTCCGAGTACGACTCAGGTCGTGGAGTTCGCCCACTTGAGCTGAAGACCTTACAGCCCGACCAATGGGAATGGGACTTGGGGATTTAGGGTTTTCCAGGGTTTAGGGGTTTAGGGTTTAGGGGTTTAGGGGTTGGGGGTTTAGGGGTTTAGGGATTTAGGGCTTTCGGGGTTTAG